ATACAGTGAGATAATTAATGACGTTTAAAGTTACATATAAAGCACTGGGATTTACATTTAGCATATTGGTCTTTAATAATACACTGAAAATGATTTATGATTTCATTGCATTAAATGGTTGCGCACAAAATACAATATATACTACTCAATGTACATAATATATAAAATAATGTATAAACACAATTGCTTTCTTTAAATTGACTTGTTTCGGCGATTATTGTGTTCATATAATACATTTTATTAATTTGCATCCACTTAACACATTTTAATCATGTCAATTCAAAGTGCCTTCTTTTTATTGCTGAGTTAAAGAAATGTTGTACTGTATAAACCGCAGAATGCAATGTCATTTATAACCTGGTTAGCTGGGAAAAAGCAGTGCAACTGCTATAAGTGGTTGCTAAAATTGATTTAGTTTACAATCTTCCACGAGCTACTGGGATATAACTTACAATTTGGCTGTACACTAAATATGTTGTGCAGAAAGGCGGGGAGGGACGCTCACTGGACAGGTGTGAGGGACTCACGGGGGCTTTATTCTAAGTCATTCCTGCTACAGAACCATTTCGACCAGTCTATGCTTTGAGCAATTGATTCATTGTTTTCAGAAGGTGAAGGATGCTTCGTTGTTTTCGAGGCCCTGAATCGTTAAATTTTGATGGGTTAAAGTGATTATTAATGTATAACATAGGGAACTCAACAATTGAAGGTTTTTATTCAGTCATTTGTTTATTAATTTGTTTTGCTCAAACGTTTTGGTCGCTTTTCTACGCGAGTCATTATTTCACAGAAGGACGCGATGCTTTCATTTGAGGATGGTTTTATTCTCCTCTGCTTATCTCTGAAGTGGGACGGTGTGGTGTATATGCGGTGCCACGCCTCTTTGCGTGTTACAAATTAGGCACCTCAAGAAGAAAAAGACAGGCCAGCGCACTGAACACAACACATCTGGTTAAACTTGACCGCCAGGGCCATGGACGTTTGCCAACTGTTATTAAATTAACAAACTTCAGTTTCAGTGAAGGGAGACGGACTGGCACAGGCTCAAAAATCCGCTTCTGCTGCGAATGCGCTCCCCCCCACCCCACCCCCCACGGGCAGCAGGGAGCGCGTTCTTAAGTTTTACCAGCTGAAAAGAGAGATGATGTTGATGATGGAGACGAGATGATAAACAGGAAGGCGGACTGTTTTATCGTAGCCGTGACAAGCAGAGAACAGAAACGCCACGCACGCATAAACCCGCCTTTGATAAAGAGGAACCAAGCGCCGTCCTGAATATTTTTCCTCTTTATATAATTGAAAATCTAGCTCTGAGCTCAAAATTAAGCAGAGCACAAGTGAGCTTCAGCCGAAGGATTAAACATGGTGAATGCGTTCTTGCTGTCCAAATATAAAAAGCTAAATCGAGAAGTGAAAAGCCCTTTGGTTTATTCATATTTTCATACCTTTAAAAATAAGAAGTGCCCATTTTAAATGGCACAAACATTCTATAGCACCGCTATACAGTATTACAGTATTACACCACTATACAGTATACAGTATTATTTACATATAAAGTTCAGAAGGACGGTAGAGTGCTATATATGTATATATATATATATATATATATATATAGACAGATAGATATAGATATGCAGGAATAAATATAATATACATATACACAGAATGAGTGGAGAGAATGCGGATGTAGGTTGTATGTACTGTGAGCAGCATATGTAAAAAGATAAGTATGCAAAGTAAAACATGTACAGTAACTGTGCAAATATGAATAGTGCAGTCAAATGTGTGTAAATATGCAAATATTTGTTTGTTTTGTTTTGTTTGTTTTTTTTGCGTGCATATTGAAAGAATTACACTGTAATTTAACATGATTAAAATGTGTCAAGTGGTTGCCCATGAATAAAACATATTACATATTACATGAACACAATCATTGCCAAAACAAGTAAACTTAAAGGAAGCTACTGTGTTGATGTAACATATCTTTTTATGTACAACCACTTGGCACAATAAAATCATGAACCACTTTTTTCAGGACCCTAGATATATCGGTTTATTACAAGGTCGTAATATAAAGACACAGACCCAATTAATTAATGATCCCGCTACATTTGTAACATTAAGACCAGAACTAATTATTTTAGATGTGGGCACGTTTAGAATTACGAAGCGCTCTCTCTCTCTCTCTCTCTCTCTCTATGTGTGTGTGTGTGTCACGTGTTCAAGGTGCTCTAACTACGTCATATTTCTTATTAACACCGCTGCCATCACGCCACACCCACAGAAGAGTCTGATCTGAGACAAACTTATGCTTTCAGCTTCCACCTGTGCAGAGACCCCTACCTATCCAATACATTTTTTATAGTAGCAGCTGATATTATTTTACCAATGAACATGTATGTATTTATTAAATATGTTATGTATTCTATCACCGTGCACCGTGTGTTGGTTCAAGCCAGCCTTGTGACCCTTTCAGCGCTAAAGCTACTGTATAAACCAACACATATCTGGAAACGCGCACCTGGATTGTTTGATCAAACGACCCAGGTGTGTGTAAGTCTATTGTTCGCCTGTATAAAGCGCCATTCTGCCACCAAGGCGTGAGATTTGCTCCAGTCTTGACGGAGCCACAAGATGACTGCAGACTAAAGTGGAAATACAAACATCGGGCTGGCGTACATTCAGTTATTATGGAACTGAGGCAGTTTAGTTAGCTTTTACAGTTCAATATTTTGCTCGTTTAGGACGAATCTGTGGTAAATGATGTAGACAGTGAAATAAACAACAATTTCCTAAAGAATCCTTAATTCCACTCTTAAAAAAGTGTCACAGAGTTCTTTGGGCGATGCCTCAGAAGAATCATTCTGGTTCCCTAAAAAACTGTGTTTGAAAAACAGATTTGTGAGTGGAAAGAAACGTTTAAATCTATGAAGATAAACGTTCTTCACCAATTTCTGGGTTCCTCCTAGAATCTTTAAATGATTGGAGGCTCTTACAGTTTAAAAACGATCTTTGCACGTCTAATTTACAAAAATGGTTCTCTGATCTTTAGAGAACCAAAGCGGTTCCTTTATGGCATCGCTCAAAGAACTATTTCTGGCTGCTTTATTTTTAAGCGTGTATCTCATCTCCCAGAACAATTGAATCCACCCTACAGAACCTTTGTACTATGTGAAGGTTCCTATAACTTCAAAAAGGTTCTTCGTGGTCGCACATATCAACAAAACTGATTCTTAAAATAATAAAGGTTGTTGAAGGAACCAAAAGCCGTTCTCGTATGGCAAAGCTCCTTTTGGTTAAACTTGGCACATTAATTTTGGCAAATATTTGGCTGGTTTAAATGAGGACTATTTATGTTTCTGTGTTTACTTTCATTTGTTTTTGTGTATATTTGTTTTTGTGTTTAGTTTAATTTCTATCACTGATTGGTTCCCACTCAACAGTGAACGGTTTAGATTTATTTCTCCATGTTGTCTGTTAAAATCAGCTTAATGACTCAAAAGATGGTCGGTTTGTTTGTCGTATTTGCCTCAATCCATAGCATAAAAAAGTAACTGCCAGTCTTGTAGGGATTAGTGAGTTGGATTCCGTAATGAGGGCCTTTTCAGGGCTCACAGATCAGTCAATTGTCACCCCATTAGAAGTGCCCAGTGTGCGTAAGGGGGGCGTAAGAATTGCGCAAGCCAACCAGCACAAAAAATAATGGCGGGTTTATTGATTATCAGACAATTATACTTTTCCTAATTGGCTATAGACCAATCAAATTGCGTTTGGTGTATATTTTAGTGTTCAGATAGCTGTAAGTCGCTTTTGCGTTTCATGTTCATTTCACAGTTATGAATTTATGCTGCATATTAATATAACAATATTCTATTACACTCATCTAATTTATGACAAGGTCTTAATCTAGCAAAACTTAAAAAGCAAACAATGTGTCTGCCTATTAGAACTACGCAATTATGGAGCACAGAAAAGCAATTACATTGAGTAACCACGAGTAGGTACACAATAAAATGATCAGTGTTAATTAACACCTTCTGTCAAGCTGACCTTTGATGAACCGAATTCAACACTATATACAGTATTCTTTCATCTGAGCATTTTGCTGTGTAACTGTCTTAGCCTGTTTGACTTTTATTCCACCTCGGTGCTGCCTGGACAAAGAACTGCAGTGTTAATCATCTTACATTGAATAACATTTCTAACTATGAATTCAATTCAGTTTTATGTATTTAGCGCATTTTACAACATTGTTCTAAACCAGCTTTTCATAAATCCAGGTCCAGACCGCCACACAAGACCCCAAATGGATATATCTTGGGGGCTTTATTCCTCCCATGAGGAATTCACTCATCCTTCTCTGGGCCGCATCGGATAGTGGAAATCTGAACAGGCCTGAGACACACAACCTACCCACGCTCACCGCACCCCCCCCGCCTTCCACTATCTTTCTCATAAATACACTTTCTCTCACTCTACCCACTCTGAACAGGAAAACTCACACTGACACACGTCATCTTTCAACTCTCTTGTAAGCTCAGTAAACTGAAAAAAGTGCTTTGAATTTATATGATCGAAATGCAAACTTGCAAGACAGCAATTGTGTCGACGTAACACATTAACGTGCAACCATCTGACCTGTTTCAATTATACTAAATTCAAAGCACCATCTTTATTCTGCACGCGCTATCTACAGACATTACGGTTCCAATGATCGACTTCCAAAAATACAAACATCAAACAGCGCAAAGCTGCCAGCTCTGGTCCCTCTCTCTCTCTCTCTCTCTCTCTCTCTCTCTCTCCCTCTCTGACAGTAAGCAAAAAGGAGGTCGATCTTAATTCTCCATAACAAAAAAAGTACAAAGGCGGGTCGGAGACCAAAGGCACTTTAACACCTCCCTGTGTCCGCGCGCCCAGGCGGCGCCGCGGCGGATAGCGCGCGCCTCTCATTAGTGGAAGACGGGACGAGTGGAGAGGGAGCGCATACAGGGAGGGGGGGAGGGGGGTGTGGGAAGAGGCTACAAAAACAACTCATCGTTTCCCCCATAAACGAACTTGGCTCAGGTCTACAAAGGTGCCTTCAGCGGCGGGGACGGCAGCGAGCATTGCTTACTTATTTAGGAACTTTTAAAGTCTCCACTTTGGACATATCTGCACTGACATCATCTCGTGTGCTGCTCAGAGGTCAAAGTTCAGTTGAGGAATCAGCCAAGGAAGATGCGTAAGTAAACTACGTGGCCGTTTCACTGTGCTTGATCTGTGATGCTCCAAGACTGAGACACACTTTGCTATGCCGCTAGCTCAGGTTGATACGTTTTACTGTTGTGCTGCAACAATTCAGGTCGTTTCCTTGGTATCAGGGCGCATTCACTGGCGGTCTGTCAAAACCGCCTACTACCATACTAAGGAGTATAAGGCACTACCATGAGACGTATAGCATGTGCTAGTATGCATGTGTTGGAAAGGAAGCCTTTAATGCCAGATATATGCTGGGAGCATTTATTTTCAATGTGTTTTCTGGCCTTGTCGGTATCAGAAATGCTCCCAAGGCCTAGTGGGACTTCAGCCTAATGTAGCTATATTCTGAAATAAAAGTCTAAGACCTTCACAACTGAGTTTGTGCTTTGTTTGTTTGCAGTGGCGGAGGGCAGGGAGGCTCCAGTCTCCTCCGTTGCTCATGCCGACAGTGATAATGGGGAGGAGGATTCCTGCCCGCGTATGGCGCTGCTGGCCGGAGTGGAGCAGAGCCGGAGGCACAGGACCGCGTTTACGCGCGAACAGTTGTCCCGTCTGGAGCAGGAGTACGGCAAGGAGAGCTACGTGTCCCGGGCAAGACGGTGCGAACTAGCGGCAGCACTCAACCTCCCCGAGACCACCATAAAGGTTCCTATACGACTTATTCGTTGAACTCAAAATATTTATCCTGTTAAAAAACAAGGCTCCCTGTGTTGGCCCACTTCAGTCCCTGAATGATTACTGTTACCAACAAATAAGCCATAACTTAGTAACCACAAAACAAGTCAGCAGTTTAGGGGCTTAAATAACTAAACAATAAAATAAAAAAGTGGACAATTAGTTTTCTAGTCAGATTTTTTTAACTTAAACTAAGGCTTATCAGATGCTATACTGAAAGTTTGTACTAAGTACCTCAGTAACAACTGTTCTGTGCTAAATTTAAGATTTGCAGTTTAAGAATTAATCTACAGTCAAGAAGATACAGGTCCCATTCTCAGAAACTGTCACTTGGGGCAGCACTACTCTTGTCCTGGGGTGGTACCCTCAAGGGTACATCTCAGTACCTTTAGTCAGGGAACATAATTGTATCATAATCCATTTAAGTTATATTTTCTAAGTTGTACTGACTCCACACACCCCATCTCATCTCCAGGCTTTTAATTTTATTGTTCTGTTTTAAATCATTAGGTTATGAAAAGGTACAAATACATACTTTTTACCTGAAAAAACTTAATTAAAGTACACAATTAGACCTTAAAACCACTGTTGTAGCTATAAGGGTACATTTACATTGTTTGTACCTTGATGAATGAAAAATGTACCTGCATAGAACCTTTATTTCTAACAATGTACTAGCACTGTTCTACTTGTCTGACTTGGACCCTGCTTCCTCCATATAATTGTAGGTGTGGTTCCAGAACAGACGGATGAAGGATAAACGACAGCGCCACAGTCTGAGCTGGCCTCACCCACTGGACCCCAACCTGTGTGCCTTCATGGTGAGCCAAGCGGCTGCAGGGCTGCCATACCCCCTGCTGCCTCATATTCCACTAAATCTGTACTCTCATCTCAGTATGGGAGGCATGCCACCACTCTCCAGTCTGTCTAGTCCGTATAGCGTTGCTTCTGTGAGACCTCTGGACACTCTGCGCCTTTCACATTCTCCTTATCCTAGGCTTGGTGGGCTTCCCTCTCCAGTACTTTACCCCCCAGTGCACACAATGCAACATCCTCCAACCTGTCCCTGCCCCTATTGCCTCCACTGGGGACCAGACCAGCTGCTCAAGGCCAGAGGGGGACCTGGTCTCGGGCTAAGTTTGACCAGCAGCCCAAAACCTACAGCTGCACTGATAGAATGCAGAGAAGAAGTGCCTTTGCCTCAGTGAAGGAAGGACTTTATTTAACATTAGAAATTACATTTTTGGACATCATTGGTCACCAACCCTCCTCCTGTTTTAGAGTTTAATGGGAACCATAATTTACCAAATGATGTTAATCAAGATCTTCAAAAGCACAAGATGTGAACAATTAGCGCAAGGAGTAAACTCTGCAGCATGGCAGATCTTCACAAGGGTTGGTAGCCACTCATCTATCGTCTAATACAGATTCACACTGCAATGGCACAATCAAAGCTAGAGAAAGGGTACTGCCACATTATGTTCATTTTATGCTAAATTTCTAGTTTTCTGTATGTGGAAATGTTTTAAAGATAAATATTTTTATGGCCTTCCTAAAAAAGGTGGTTTTGTTATCTGCTTGTCATTTACAAAGAATGCTGCTCCTGAACACTGTAAAATTAACGTGTATATATACTTGCTTCTTAAAAAGCTCTATGACAAACAAGTCTATTAAAATATTTATGAAAACATTCTGATTACGTTTTTTGCATTTTGAACTTATGTTGATGTTGCATAAAATCTACACATATTCTACATGGATATGTCTATTATATTTGATCCTGATATTGAACATGATAGAAAAAAAAAATGAAAAAATGAAAAACAGACATTCTGGCAGACATTCACAAGCAATATCCTTGTCAACTAACACATATAAATCTCTACAGTGATGTAAAATCTTCTGCACCTGTTAAGCTGTCTTTTATTCCAGCCTGTCAACCCAGACAGTGGCTAAACTAAGAGACACTTATCAAAATTACAGATACTACACCACACTAATCCTGTCATTATAGCCCACGCTAGACATAACCCACTGCAGCATGGGTCCGACGTGCCTTAAAACAGAGTCCAGCCAGACAAAACAACAGGAGGTGGACAGGGCTGTCTGAGACCACTAATCACCAAAGACAGGTTCAGTGCTTTATCTAATGATGAGCCAAAATCATACACTGAGGGCACTGCTTACTGAAAAGTCTACCTCGATTCATACTGTTCTGCTCTCAGACCCAATAAAGAACAGCAGAAACGATGGCATAGCCATGCCAGGGCTAACTCCAAGTTTATGTTCAGGTAGAACTGCTGTTCAAAAAACAGGGCAGATGCAGTGATTCAGCCTGTATTTAAGCACTAATACAAAACTACTGACGCGTCACAGCAAGGTTGTATGGATTAGGGCACCTGCTGTGATCCAGGTGCGTTAGCTTACTTGAGCCGCACCTGTTACAGGTGATTTAAAATGCAGAGGGCCTGCTTCATCTGTTGCTAAGCTAAAATTAACCCCTTTCATTTTAGTTTGGTGGTGTGCATTGCTAATTCTCACCTTGAGATCATGGCCCTTAAGGGGCACAAATTTCAGCTGCTTTTCAGGGCTTAGTGAGATAAGCTGCCTGATTCAATTCAGGTTCATTGGGCTTCTATATTTACGTTTTTCACATAAAATTATTAACTTTTCATGTTTTCCATATGCCTTTTGTTACCAGCTAAGATGCCTACTACAAGGAAAATGGACATCAAATTTGAACAAGAAACATGAATCAAGCACACAAAATTTTGCATTCTCTTGATAACTGCAAGTCAGCACAGGGCTAGTACTAGCGTTGTTCTAGGACCACTATTCCCAAACTGAGGTATTTGATCCTAGGAAGGATGTCAAAGTTTTCAGAGATTTACGTTACGTTGGATTTCATTAGCTGACTGTCCAATTACAAAGGTATATCCCTCAGATGAAGCACACGAACAACTGTGCTACTTCTTAACTCAAACCTCCTAAGCAAAAGAGAGCCTCATTAAAAGATCTACAAATGTTCCATTTCTTTTTTATTAAAAAGTTACTGTCAGATTTCTGGATAGCACTGCATGCAAAGTATCCTATCTTGGCAACTCATGATAAAATGTTTATGCCTATTGCAGCAACATACCTTCACCAGAGTCAGTTCTCAGCACAAAAAACTAAACACTGACTGTGGAAAACAATTTAAAACCCTAAAACTCTCTTCTATACAGCCTAACACACCATTCGTATTAGTCATTCATGAGTCATGATGTACGAATAAAATGTAGTAAGACAGAGGTTCAACCAGGCTAAATGTCTTATAACACAAGGTGTGTGCATGCATGTGTGGGATATATAGAGCTACAGGGGGTATGCAGCAGGATGTCTAATGTCCAACAGGCTACAAATTTGTAAAAAGTTTTGAGACCACTGCTCTACGACATTCAAACATTCTACTACAATTGTTCTAGGACATTCAAGCTAAAATGCAACTGATCAGTCAGGAATCAACCATTTGCAAATAGGGCACACTTTGATAGATTAACACTGTTTCCTCTTCACCACTGATAACTACCTTTGCTTACCTGGAGCAATATGTAGATGAAAATAGCCCTAATCAGCACCATCCTGGTCTGAGATAGACAATAACTCAACAGGTAATGTCTGCAATAAAACAGCAAATAGGTGGGAACTGACAGTAAAAGAGATGGTCTTCTCCATGTGAATAGTGAGAATTGTGGCTAATTGGGACTGACTGTAAAAAAGATCTTGTTTCTGGTGGCAGTGAGAAATCTCAAAGAACACACAGTAAAAGCTTTCTTTTGTCTAGCGAGCACCATGGTGTGATATTTACAACATCCTGCTGCTAATGCAGCCTTGGCCCTGGGGGAGTCAAGAGATGGACACGATGACATGACCGCTAGTCCTTTGTGCCGCATTTCCTTCAAAAGATCAGTTTCTATACCATGTCTAACACACCACAGTAGATCTGGGAAAAATATCTTCATATTATTCCACAAGGAGTGGATCCAGGATTCAGGATTCCTCATCCTTTTTATAATATCAAATTTAAAATGTTCTCTAATTGCCAAATAACAACCGTCAAGATTTTGGGCAAAAGATGACAAAACAAATGCATATAAATGCTGCTTGGACCTGCCTGGAGCTGGTTTTCTGAAACTGGCTGAACGAGAGAAAAGAAAGACCAAGGAAGATGCATTATTGCACATGAACTTTCCTGTGTGGCTGGAACCAATAAGCACTGTTCCACGGTAACAGTGTTTCGCAGCACTAGGTAACAGGCTTGTCTTTGGTGTTATCATCAGAGACTGTGGTGGAGTATGCTATGACTTTTATACTGATGTGTACTGATGTCATGTGGGTGCCTCAGCAGTGTCTGCTTCATCTGACAGTATGCTGTATTAGTATCCATCATAGTAAAATTATCTGCAGCTTCTTTGCGCACTCTTGGATTTGTGGTGAACCATGTAGACACATCATCTGCAGCAGAATTATCACAGTTAGTGAGCAGAGGATTCCTGGAGACTGCAGGGCTACCAGTCTCTCAAGCAGGTCATAGTCTGGACAACAGCTGCTCCACAGTCTTAACACACAGGCAGAAAAGAGCGGAGGGGAAGATGTTACACGAGTGCTACAGACTGAGTATAAGCTCTGCTATGATAATAGCAGTACACAGATGTCTGGAATGCTATAATGCTAGTCACAAACTGTGCAGGAAGCATTTACAAGGGATCACATACTGCAAAGCTGCCATTACAGCAAATCAAATTACCCAAGAGAATTATGAACGCTCTTTATCACTTTCTGAACCAAATGCAAGCTGATAAAAAGAAAACAGATTCAGGAAAAATGGGAAGCATATCTCTAAGTACAGAACTGGACATGGACATTATAATATAATATATATAAATAATTGCAGCAATTGATCGTGCAAGAAGGCATGTCACTTCACTGACTCAAGCAAAATGAGGTGATTGATGAGATGATTCTTGAGAATGGCGTTCAGGTTACTGCCTCCCCAAACTAAAGTAGATGGTAGCTGAAAAGATATTTTTTTTATTGTCATTGATATCAAAAAAACAATGCAAACAGAATTTTTTTGATGACAATTAAGAAAAGTCCCATAAATTTCTTCACTGCTGTCCACAGAGTCCACACAGTGTTTGAGTATTTCTTCTCCGAACATTTCCAAATGTCGTCCCTCAAGTTTTCAGTGGGATTTAAATTAGCTGATTGTGCCGGCTGTCTTGTTACCTGAATATCCCAAAACCGTTCATATGGCATCTTGCATTGTGTTTGTTGAACATCCAGTCATATTTTATTGTTTTTTCCCCTTTCAGTGAACAGATGAACAGAAGAGACAGATCTCATCAAACAAATCAAAAAGAGCTGCTAAACATCAGTACACAATGTGCACTGAACAATTCTTTTTGACTGCCAGTGTATATTAACATCCAAATCAACATATACATATGAAACTAATAGAGATCACACTTATTTTCAGATGACAACCAAAAGTGATGAGAGCTCAAATAAATCCATAGCATTATAATATTTTAGGTCATTCCAACATGGGTAATTCAAGGGCCACTTGAATTAATAGTAAAACTGAATGTTTTGAAAACATTAACCCACTGTGCCTTTGCCAAAACAAGACTACAAATAATGGAATAACACTGTTAAAAATTGAAAAACCACTTCAGTAGCTAAACAAATATCACTATGAAGTTACATTCTGTGAGCTTTATTTATGTCCTTCTGTGTTAGCTGCTAAACAACTTCACTCGCTCTGCTACTTCAGGTAGTAAAATATCCTCAGAAAAGTTTACACACTGATGTGTAATGAAAAAAAGAGAAAGACACTATAGCAAGTTTAAGTTCACTGCACTTTATAATAGTTTATAAATCTGCTCAAGTTGATTTTTATAACTTATGCATGTTGGACAACAGGAACATATATTAGGGCAACATGACACAACACTTACAACACCTTTAAGACATAAATGATTAAACATTATGTAAAACTGAAGGAGGCAGTTTTGTTTGCTTTTTAATTTTTCGGTATATCCTCAAACATTCCCCATAGCCAGGCGAGAATGATAGAAAAATTCTTCATCATCAGTAATTTTCAACTCCTTAAATATGTAACTGTCTTATGTAAGCATATGACAGACCACCAACTCACCTGAACTCCTCTCTGTCAATATATGAAAATACGTAAGGCTTTAGGGGTTGCCTTTGTGCCACAGGAGCAGGGCCTGAGATTACCTGAAGCTCTGGGTGTGATTGAGGCTTCTCAGGGTAGGGAGGCCTACAGAAGGGAGGCTGCAAAGAGCTGTAGAAATAGCCAAACATCCTCATCTCTGCCAAGGCACAGACAGTGTTTTTGCCATAGAGGCCCAGCTGTCTAACTGAGGCACTAGCTGCAAAAGACAAACAGCAAAATTGAGAGAAATATGGTACAGGAGTAAGAAAAGCATATTGGTGTCAGCCATCAAGTTGCAGTGTCCTTCTCCAGAGTGAAAGATCAAGGTCTGTCCACAGATATGATCTACCGAAAATTAGAAAAAAAGAAACTGACGTTTCAGTTGAGACATTGTCTAGGAACAGGCTTTTTTGTGTATCTTTCACTTACTCTCATTATAAAACTGCAAAGAGGCAAACAATATAAGCATTTCTTTACAATGAATATCATACAATGCAAATATTAGGTAAAAATGTTTTTTTGACTATAAGCCCTTGACATTCACCACAGTAATAAAAAAGGTGTTCAAACAATTAGTACAGAAGTAACAGTTACAAAGGGTGATTAGAATTACATCTAAGATTTCTGATCATCCTCTGCCATCACTACCTTCAATTTGGAAGACTCACCTCCACCAAAAGGCCTTATAATCGCTAACACCTAGCCAAGGAAAATTCCTTTCAGCCTTTGGCTGTAACAGCAAACAAATTTGTCTTGAATTGATCCTAATATAATTAATATAAACCAGTGTTATTTCATTAAGTAGGCTTTGAATGAAAAATTAAGTTATACCAATTGATGATTCCTACTGCCTCCTGAAAAAGATACAACTGAATATCACTTTGCTGAATTTCACAACAGCTGCAAGACAAAGAACCTGGTAACACTCACTTGGAAACAGTGCTTGCCATTCAGGCTTGGAGGCAGAAACTGGTCCGCACTTCACATCATGCAATGCACCCTGCTGTGTGCAGGCTCTCTGCCAGGCTGCCTCCTGGGACAGTGCAGGGTGTGGTACTGGCCACAGCTGCTGTTTGGTATCTGGCGCTGGTTGTGTTAACGCCGCAGTCTTCTTCCCACTATTCACACAGTGGTGCCCCAATGACTCCAGCTGCATGGACAACATTTCACATTCTGGCCTGTCAATTTAGTTAGCCAAGGGACTATGATTTCAATGACTGGCATTAACATTCAAATTTCTAAGAAGATTATTTTTAATTAAACCCCTCTATGCATATCGCTTACACACAATGATTTATTCTGGCACAGAACAAATAAGAAAGAAACTTATCTTAAAAGCAGGTACATAATTTAATTTTCAATTATATATCTTTGGTGTAAAAATGTATATACTCATTTTTGTTATTCCCAATTGAAATGGCATTATGTGATCTACCTAAATTCTAATGTGGAATGCCTAAGAATGGCAAAAAAGTAAACACAGTAATTCTCACTGATTGAAATGAAAAATAAAACTGCACCAATTTAACAAATGGACCGCATCTTCAGCTCAACAGCCTTGTATATGAGCTGACCTTAGCTGGTAAGTGATTTGCTGATCGTTTTTGGTCTTCCTTGACAGTAACTGCTGGTCCCTTTCTTAATGACGGGATGCCACTCAGGAGCTGACAGGCCTGTTCCACTATATCCAAGTTCCTGAGTAAACCGGCTCTATGCTGCAGCCCATGCTGCGTCTCCATCTCCTCTTCAGCATCAAGCCCCTGCTGTTCCTTTGTGGCTGCTGGGCCTCTGGGCATGTGTAGAGTCAAACCTGGGAAGAAGTGCTGAGACACACCACCCACAGTAAAGATAACTGCAGACGATGACACATTTTTGGTAAAGAGTTTCTGTCTTCAACACAAAAATTTAATTCACAAAACTGTGTATTTGTGGCTGTGTAAGACTCACAGAGCGGCAGCTTGTGTCAGAGCGCATGGATTTTGAACAACTGTGATAGGGTTTCCCTTTCTCTCCAGCAGACTCTCCCTGTAGGCCCAGTTTATGTCTCTTTCCCTGTCCCTGCTTCTCCTGCAGTTCCTGCAGCTGCTGCCTGCAAGTACGCTTGCACACCAACACACATATACACACACACACACACACACACACACACACACACACACACACACATATACCAAGCCACAGCAAATGCACCACTCTAGGTAAACAAGCACTTCACATGTTTGAAGATGCAATGTTACCAGCATGTTTTTGAATGGAAGTGTGTACATCTTTCTCTACCTTGTACATTTCTCTCGAGCCCGAGAGGCAGCAGTCTCCTGGAAAAGCGAGCAGCAGTGTTTGAGGTACTTGTCATAGTCCGCACTGTCTTGGCGGGGGAGGATCCTTCGGAAGCCTCCCAGGTGCTCATCTTCATACCTGTAGGCTTGTTCCATTCTGCGCGCTTGTAGTTCCTGCTGGTCTCTGCTCCTGAGGAATTAGAATCTCTACTGCAGACTCGAATACACCCAACTTTCAAATAAATAAAAGTCTATATTGACCTATCTGGGTCTTCAGTATTGGTATTCACATATTTTTATATTCTAATCTGTGTATTTAAAATCTCTGAACTTCCTCTGATTTATCTAATTTTTCCATAGTTAGGCTAAGTAAGTATATTGTTGCTAATTTAGCATGCAGTTGTGTGTATAAGTTTGGAACCTTTTGCAATTATCTAGATTTCTGCATTATCAGCTTCTAAAATGTCATTGCATCTTCATCTTAGTCATTAGAATAATTACAGACAATCTTATTTGACAAATGTCAAAAACGTCAAACAAAAGCTTTTTGTAGTTGCTTATCAGTCCTGCACAGCAGTTAGGGGATATTTCAACCATTATATACACTATATTCACTATACAAAACGCTTTCAGTTTATGTGTAGTTTCTGATGTGTTGCTTGAACGCCCTGCTTCATGTTTCAGATTTTGGCGTTGATTTTTTTTATGGAAGTCAAGCCCACACCCCAACTAACTGGAACGCCTGACTTTAATTACTCTCTTGTCAAGAGTTTATTATCCTGGAGGTTTACATACTTTTTCCATCAATCATTATTCAAATTGTTCAAATTATTTATTCAATAAAGATAAAGGAATCTAAATAGGACATTCAGATTTCATTCGGAAATCAGACAACTTCCGAGTTCATAAACTCTCCCACAGCTGTGTGTACAGGGCTTACATTTCAGCCACTTCAGGTCTAAACAAGACATTTCTAACACTACAACATATCTTATTGTGTGATTTTTTTCTATCAACTGTAAAAACATCTAGCTTCCTAGCATATCAAAACTTATCCTTACTTTTTAACTGGATTCACTTCAGTGGTGCATACTTTAACACATGCCTAAAACAAGCACATGGCTGGGAAGTTGGTTTCTTCTACACTTAGGACTGGAATTATGCTTGTCTGCTAGGACAGTTAGTCCATGCTTCACATAGAGCATGCAAATATGCAAGTGCTTTTCTCTCTGTACCGGTCCTCTTTGGAGGCCTGCTGAAGCCTCTTCTGTATGTGACGTCTCTCCTGTTCACTGGCCTTTTGCCTGTCACAGGCTCCTAGATTGACCAGAACCAGAGTGTCATATAGTAGCTCATCCTTCACCTCCCTGTCGAGCCGCGAGTCTGTGGTGAAGCTGGGTGAGTGGTTCACCTACACACACATACACAAAACTTCTGCAAACATATCCATGCACATCGTCACTCTCAAGACAAAATCGTCATTTTAGTTATATTTTTTTATTCAATTTGAAAAACACCTGCTGCCAAAATTGCTTGAAACAACATTTTTTACATTAACTTCTATTATAAGTTAGCAAGGTTTTTTTCTGCTTTTGTAAACATACGATTTTGGAGATACAAGGTTTTGTCACTAAACATAAAAAAAAAAATCTAGATATACAATCTGGTAAAAATGTGCTATATTGATATGATGGTGGAGATTCAACAGCATCATTAATACCTGATGTACCTGGCTTGTAACTCAAAAAGAGAAATACTTTTCTAATGTAGCATTATATAAAAAGAATGGAGACCACCCAGCACAAATGGTGTGTTGTCGGCGAAGACTAAAGTTTACATACTTAGACATGTTAGTGGCCCATTGCTTTTTCAGTGTGCCGCCCCAGAACAAAGCATAATAATAAAAACCAAGAAAGATACACTGTGAAGGCTAGCTACAGAGAGATGGGGAAAAAATCTCTAAAAAGTGTTTTTGGGGGGTTGCATCATAAAAAAAACAAGTTACTTAAACATGGTGGGGGGAGGCCACTGTGGTTGGAGTCTAGGATTTAATTTAGTTCCCAGTCCAGCCCCGCTTTATAGGTTATATCAAGGTGATTTACAGATTTTTCCCAGAGCTTCACTGCATGCATATACTCAAGGATGTGTTGATGGAACTTAGCTATAATGTACACGCTTTTTTTTAAGGCACCTTGAAAAAATGACAGAAGGCAAGGAAGTGACAATAAAATACATAAGCAAATTATCTATGTGTTGCATGTATGACTAACCACTTCATTAAGTATACCTCCTTATATTTACACTCTTTGTCCATTTGATCAGCTCCCCTTACCATATACGAGCACCTTGTAGATAATTACAAACTGTAGTCCATCTGTTTCTCTGTATACACTGTTAACCCCCTTTTAGCCTGTTCTTCATTGGCGAAGACCACCACAGAAGTATTATTTTGGTTGTGGATCGCACTCAGCACTGACGTAGCAGTGACACATTAGTGTCTGTTGCAGTGGTACATGTGTCAGAAACAGCAGCGTTGCTGGTGTCCAAATTTTTCTCTGATTATGATGCTGTCTGTGTGACTTTTAGATGTCCACAGCTCATAAAAATATCATTTGACATTACAAGAATGTCACGTTCTCACTTTACTCTACACCAACCTACATAATTCAGCAGGGTTATGGTAATGTCCACTGGCAAAAATAAACAAACACACCAAACAAAACAAAAAGCTTATCTTAGGGAGAACAGTAGTTTGAATTCTATGGTCAGGATTTAAAACAAAAAGCTTGGTTTATTGCTTTTATTGTGTATGCTACACTTCTGTGTGAATAGTTTCTCAAGTCATACTTGTGTACTCTAATTTTGAATCATCCCGAAATAATCAGACTGTAAATAATAAGTAAATAATATGACTGTAAGCTATTTTGGATTCTAGAAATTATGTTTACATCAATCAGACCAGGAAAACCTTTTTAGTGACTGGAAGATAAAGCGTCAGGTTTTCAGGTCTAAAAAGGAGGAGGTTTGAACTAAGAAAGGTGCCCCTTCAGATGAGTTAATGCTAAAGCTAACACTGGAAGTAGTCTGGGCGTCTGAGGAGAGGCTGAGGAGAACTTAAATGCACGCAAGTTTAGCAAACTTTCATGAAACCATAGAAACAAGTGTGCAGTAATATTTACACAGAATGTTTTTAATCCCAAATGCATCATCCTGACCAATACATTCTGCTTTTAATATGACTGTTTTATCAAGCCTCTGTCAACAGCTAACTCAGCTGATCTTAACATTGTTCTGTACCATTGTTACAAATCACATTAAAATAGGTGATGTCAAATACAGTAATCCAGATAAAGTTTATCTTACTTTAATGCTAGAGTAAGTCTGTCTGTTATTAGTTTTGATACTGATCTTGCAAAGAGTTTATCCCAAAAAAAATTCAGCTTCAAGAATGAAATAAAAAAATAAAAATGTCACATCTTTTTCCCTCTCTTGGTCTAATAATTTTGACTAATTAACTGCCACAGTCATTGTCATTACAGGTTTGTTCTGGGGAGCACTGTTGTTGTTTTTTCTTTGCTTGACAGAGAAAGCAGCCCTTAGAGACTACTTTGAATGGCTGAATGGTGTGATAATCTTTAATTTGCAAACGGTTAATTGTTACCTAAAGGATTTGAATAGTGAGGTCAGAGATTCATTGTGAGGTCAGAGATTTCCACCACTAAAACACCCAATGAGGACATATCACCCACAGACACACCCTCAGCCCACCTCCAATAGCCATGGTTTAAGGCGATGGTCCAGCATTACGTCGAAGCCCAGCAGCTCAAAGCAGGCCCCAGCTGGGTTAGCTGCATGCCGGGGGAAGCAGGTGTGGTAGTTGTGACGAAGTAGGGACTGCGCTGAGATCAGTGCTTTAATCACCACATCTTCAATATCTGCCCATAGCTTCACTGTGTCACAGTTCATCTCTTCCAGCAGGCGCCTCAGTGTAGACAGTTTCCTGTAAAGAAAACAGACATCAGACTGAAAAAAGTCACCTGCTACTGCTGATCAGGCACCATCAGCTGTATATAAGGGGCATGGGAGTGTGGCCTTGCCTTCAGTAAACAACCTTTTAGGATGACTATGCTAATTAATGACTGCATGGAAAGGGAAGAGCTAATCCTAGAGCTTAGCAGGTCTTAACAGAATAACAGATAAGCATACCGCTTGAGTGTCTTAGCTGAACATGGATGTTCAAAGACTTTTATTCCAAATCCCGGTAAGTCCACCCAGGCAAATGGATAGGTTACATGTTTTGTTCATTGTTATACATTATAGTAATTAAACCACAGGGTTATGCCAGGTTGAAATAAAGGCCTACTTCATTCTGTCACCCAATGACAATTAGATCAACAAAACTGAACTTACCTTTTGCTACCTGCATTGTCATCTCGCACAAAGTTCTCACTGTTTTTGTTGATTGCATAGTTAGTCAAGTGCATGCAAACATCATGCTGAAAGAGAGAAAAAAGAGAGAGAAAGAGACAGAAAGAGATGAATGCGTATGATGAACCTATATGGTAGCTAATATTATGCTTTATGGGGGGCAGTAAAACCTATAATTGTGGTCCGTGTAAACTGTAGCTTTTAAAAAACTGCAAAGTACAGAGATAGACACTGACAGACAGTGTGTTGAAACCTGATTGTCTCACAGCTGCTGTCTCTGAACCTCTCATAAATAAGTGCATAAAAAGTTCTGGCATTCTTTACTGCTGATTAGTCATTGTTCTTCTTCATACATCTTCCTTTATCTACTTGGAAATTTGGGCTTTGGCCATTTCCAGAAGTCACCCAAGATCCTCTGCTATTATTAGATTGCCTTCAAAATAAACAGCAACCCTTGATTTTTCTATTATTCCAGGTACCTACAATAAACAGTCCAATGTATAATGTACTAGGTAACATATTAAAGCACAGTTTGTAAATTTTGTAAAAGTGTAACAAAAAAAATAACAAGTTACAACATTACAGCAAAACTTGAGTGAAATAAATAAACTGGCAAGTGCTCCACCTATTTGAGAAAAAAACAAATAGGGCCTAAATTTATGACCTTTTCAAAATGTCTGCAATGTACATGCCTTTAAAACAATAACCTTTTAGGTTCCACTTAATTTATTAGTTTATTTATTTGGTTTTTAAATCAAAATAGCATAGTAATAAGCATCCATATTTTATGTTTATATTTGATTTTTAATATGCTCTTCTTTTACACTACCTAAACGAAATCTTAATATTGGAACACTGTTGTTCATCTTCTTCTAGCTGCCTTTTTCTTCATAGGCCGGTGTATATTCTATGTCTCACCATGTTGCTGTGGTTGGGGTAGCAGTACTGGCTGGTGCAGAAGCGAGCTAGGCCTTCCTCATAAAGAAATACCCGCAAAGGGTCAATCGATGTCACCAGGACATAGATACGCAGGTCAAACTTGAAGCCATCAATGAGAAATGGCTGTAGAGAAACTTTGGAAAGTTAGTATGGAAATATCTTAAACACAGACAGAGTTAAAAATCACTGAATATCTTAATGGAATGAAAAAAATGTTTAACTGAGGACTAAATTTATGAAACAGATTTCAATTTAAATCAGAAGGTGTTCTGGAGTTTTCAAGCTGTACTTACATACTGCATGTTTTGTTACTCCAATGAACTTCTTAACTTAACTTAGAAGAATCAGAACAGCCTTTTTATTAGGCGCCCATAGTACCAGTTTGTATAAGTCTTTTGTTTACATGCCAGAATGCTACAATCTGTTTTTAGTAACTTATCTGAGATGACTCATATGTGATTCATTCTTCATGCATTACAAGCATTCGTGACATTTCTTAAAAATACACAAATCGCTCTTTTCCTACAAGTGCTTAATAGAAATGAAGAACATAGTTGAAACACCAGGCTTTGCTACCATCAGGATTTAATGATTTGTAAAACATTGAAGTATTTCAAGCATAAATGCTTCACTTGAGTTTGTGTTCTTATCTTGATTTTGGTTTATTAATGTAGGTTGTGTGCTATAATATTACACTGACACATGCTTTATAAACAAAGTTCCTGTCTGATATAGAAAAATGTTACATTGGTATTGATTACAGATAGAGTTTCAATTTCAGCTTTTATTCTGAATAAAATTTAATTCAAATTGGCCTCAAATCATTTCCTCTGTGCCAATTATGGCTACATAAAGGTCTTTTATTTGGAATCCATTTAGAATTGTTGTTAGATAACATTAATACTATTAGATATTAGACTATTAATGTCAAATTACATGTAAGTATATATTCACTAAATATATTTGACTGTTGCTTAAGATATGTCATCATCAGTATTTTTTCATATGGTGCTATATGAATATCAGAGCTCTGGCCATAAAGATCAGAGTATACAGAGAGCTCACTTCCCATCCACTGACCATGAGAATGACCTTACCCTGGAAATGTAGACCTGGCAGATCATGTGCTGTCCAGGGGCAATATCCCTCCTGCATTTGGTGAGAAAAATCCCACGGCCTTGGCAACCTGTGTCAGGTTTGCAGATGTATGTCTTTTGCTTTTTGGCCCTACTGTAGGCTTGAAAGTCACTGTAACTGCAGAAGAAGAAGATGTTTCCTCAATTGCCCCCAAAAACATAGAATGCAGATCATTCCATACTCAGTAGTTGAGTGAAAATTTAAATGACAGCAAAATATATCCAACAAAAATATACAACTAAAACAAACTGACACAAACAAACTCATCACTTATACAATGTGAACAGTTTAAGAAAGAAAGAACAGCCACACACACATGCAGACCCAGGGCACATAAACCAGCTCACATACTCACTCGGCTGGTAAGCACCAGGTCTTTGGAAAGATGCTGTACTCTTTGGGAAAATGCTTCAACATTCGATTCATATTGCGTGCCAACATGTCTTTCCTACAGATCTCACTCATGCCAGGAAAGTGGTTGATCTTCTGTTGATGTAAAAGTAATTCTATGCTTTACAGAAAAAAAATTCTGTAGCACATGATAATGGACCATTTTATCGCTTTCTATATTAACTCTGAAATTGAAGTTAAGTATAGCACCACGCTTAAGAATGACCTAAAAACAACTGATATTTTAATCTAATGCACCACTGTCCACTGAGACCAAATCTATTAGATCATCGAAGTCTGACTCCTGTTGGTGCTCTGCATGGAACTGGCTCTTGTGCCTGGAGCTGTGTGAACACTGACTATAGTTCAGTGTAGAATACATTGACACATGACATACCTGATAAATTTTCATGTCCATAAGGCGCTCCAGAGAGACTGATAGGTCTGTCCAGTATAGAGTCCAGTCCTCGCCATCAAGCACTTCTTTCAGACCATACCTACGCGCTGCACGTCGAACTGATAAAAATATAGAAATGACCAATAAAAAATATATTGATGAGTCTTCTAAACCAAAAGACAATCCCTATTGTTAGCCAGGTGCGAGTGCTGCAACTACAAAGGTCTTCAAACAAAAATACTGCAGGATCACATTCACTAACACTCAGTAAGAGCTTTAAATAAAGAGTTTTTTTAAAAGTCAGAGCTACAGCGGCCCTAAAAAGTATTTGGATCTTTGTGCCATACTTTAAAATGTCTTAGGTTAACTGTGTTGGGAAACAAAACAACAAAGTGGCCTTTGCTTTAAACAGGCCATTACAAGACCGCAATTCCGTTCAAGTATTCTTTCAAAACGTAGGTGATGTGTTTAAGATTGTTATCATTTGAGCAGTTTATTTGCAGATTTCTGCAGATTTGCATCCAAAATGTGAGTTCATAATCCCATCACTGAACACAAGCTAACCAGCACCAATATAAGAAAAACGGCCCCCAGAATTCGACATCTTGACCGCTGTGCTTTACAGTTCTCTTGCTATGCAGTCTGGTTAGAATTCTTCTGCAGGCTTTCTTTACACAAAAAGTCTACCATCAGTTTGATGTTGTGATAAAAGCATTTCACTGAGACAAATCTCATTTTGGCAAACATTTTATTAAGCACCTGAAATAACTTCATTATAGTTTGCCAATGTTTAAGTGGTTCAAAATGTCCTAATATTTTTAGAGTCCCTGTACTCTAGGTGTTGGTAACACATTTTTCATTAATAAATTTTAAACATATCCCAAGTCTGTCAGTTCCATTCGACAAATATAAGACAGTGCAACCTCCTCCTCTCCTTCATCATTACACTTTGTAATTCAAACAATGGAAGACAGCACCATCAGAGTTCATTAAGCATACCAAATGTTTATACAGATACAGTTTGTGTGGTTTATTTGAAGGCTATAGGTAAAATCTGGCCTGTGTTTTTTGTTAAGTTCTGCTGACTGCTAGAATCAAAACACTATGACGTAATTTATGTACTTTTACAACGTGACATCAGCATTCTGAAACCTGACATGCAAAAGTAATGTTTAATAGGTGCAATGCAGCTAAGCAGCCACAGGGAACAGTTCCACAGGCACAAGGAATGGTCTGGACTATGTACATAGGAAAATGACAGCTTCATTTCAAGTTGAGGTTTTCGGAAATTACCACTTCATTATGGAATTCAGCATATGAAAGATGCCTCAGTGAAGGCTACATGGCACTAGTCAGCAAGCGTCTTAGGAGCGTCACTGATGTAACAGTAGAAATAGATTAAATTGATACATTTACAAAATGCACAAGTGGATTATGGAAACAGACACACGATTAGGATTAATAAATCCTAGTTGAAAAAAACAGATTTTTTGTGGTCCTTAGGTGAAGTGAGTTTCATTTTACCATTTCTAAGATTTAAGCTATGTCATATCATCAGCATAAAGCACACAATGCTACAGTCAGTTTTTTATAACCTGCTATGTCATTTCACCCCAAAAGTACATGACACAACCCAATGTTAGAAAAAAAACAATAGTTCCAGGTTGACAAAAGCAGCCTTTACAAAAGACGCTTTTAATAAATGTTCACGTAGTAGCCTTATGAACACTGTCCTACAGTAAAGTGATATCCAAAATTCTAATATGGTGGCTGACATGTTTTACATGTTGTGTTTATAGACATAGGTATGTATAATGGGGCCTGGTGGTTTCTGAAAGAAATTAGTTTTTCTACGACTGTCTAAATGCAAATGAACATCAGTGTATTTTATGTGTGTGCATGCTCTTTTTATCCTCTGTAAATGTATGGGTTCATGTCCATATAGACTTGTGGTTGCTTGTGTTCAGAAGGATGTGTCTGTGCTAGTACCTCAGTTACAGTCAAGCTGTAACATTAGTGTAGTCTAGGTATTGTTTCATCTACATCTGTGGACATGTTACATTTAGCACTCTTTTAGTTGTACAGGTTACGTGTTTAATTTTGACTTGATTAAATACCTATTTTATCCATGGAATACCTATTTCACCTCTACATCCATCAGTATATCTTTCTCTCTATTATTATTATAATCCTGCTCTAAATAAAAACACAAATTATAGCTTCAAACGCCACCACGTGTGTGTGTGCGTTGTGTATATGCCTGTGGGTACTGTGTCATTCAGAATGCACCGAGTGTTTTCTGTGGCTGTGTACTGTCGTTGCCCATGTGTGTTAAAATGCAAGGGTTTCCATGTTATCGGCATATGCTGTGAAATGGCAGGGGAGCTGAAGTGTGTAGGAGACACAGTAAGTTAAACACACCACTGGCTCTGAATACAGAGCAGTCAGTCTGCGCACACAGCCTGCCAATGAGACATGCCACACTTTTATTGGCCTCCACAGACACCGAGTCTGCCCAGGGTCCTAAAGGCTATTGATTTACCTTTGGCTCATTTTCTATTCACTGTTGGTGCAGTGAGAATGTTAATATGAGTACATTATGTTTGATTAAATATGACTCGCTGTGACAGCAGAATCAACAATTCACTGTAATCAAACCTATGTGAAATATATTTTAAATCGGGGGGAGGGGTGGGGGGGCACAATCAGAATCTGATTGAATCTGAATCAGCCAATTTTTGCTACAACCAGTCAGCAATGTATGATTTTGATTTTGGACCAATTGTTGTTTTGCAATTTTATGAGTTATGTAATGTGAGCCAAGCAAGTGCACTAGCACTGTACCTGTATACTTATGTATAAGTCATTGTGCTAAACAGTTTTTAATACAGAAATAATTTCTCTTTCATTCATGCTACCAAAATCACTCCATTTCAAATGACTGTTCTTTCTCTCCTAGATTATGGTGACTGTCATGCAAAGATGCACTTCAAAAACCTGATGTTCTTTATCATTCTGCTATCCATTTTGTCACAAATGCCCCTTCTAGAACACATCATTGCTCTGTTTACTCTCTTGTTAATTGACCCTCCTTATACACTCTTCACAATATATCAGATGGTCAGATGCTACCCTATTTACAAACCCTAATACAACAGTATCTGCTAAGTATAATACCAGGTCTTCCCTTCACATTTAACCTAAAACCCCTAAAACAAATACTTCTTATGGCTCCTCATCACTTCAGTCTGCTGCAGCACACGATTGGAATACACTACAAAAAACATTTAAAATTTTGATTTCTAATTTTAACAATTTGAGTTTTTTTTTTTAACAATTAAGTTTCTCCGTTCCACGATTATTTTAGGCCCATCGTATGTCCATTGCAGGTGTGTTCATTTTTGGTGTTTGTCCTTTTATGTTGTCATTTTGTCAGCTTGTGTGCTGCTTTGCCACTGTAACTTTATCCCACTTTTGTATTTCCCTTTTCCTTAAGTGGCTTCTGCTGCTTGCCAGACCACCACTGTAACTAAAAATATGTTCTTAAAGACCTGCCTGATTAAATTAAAGGTTAAATTTAAAAAAATGGCCAGCTGCCATTTACATTTGATGTAGGACTTTATTTGATTCATGTTTTGTTTAAGAATTTAAAACATCAATTTAAAACAAAACAGTAGCTAAATGTGGAAATAGCAGTAACACTCTTCTCCACCTAAAAACTGTGCATGAACAGGAATATGAAGAAGCTAACAGACCGTGTGTGTCTAAAAGCACTGAAGTTGAAAACTGACTCTCACTGTGAAAACTGACTCTCACTTAAACAGGTTATTTATATATTTGAAATGGCTTTCAAAATTAATTTATTCATTCCTTCATTTATTTGTTTGTTTAAATTAATTTGATTGATTGATGTATTTACTGTGTTTTGTCTGTCATGATAACATATTGTCATTGTCCAGATATTAGAGAACATAGCCATATGAGCTGATATAAATTTCAGCTCATATGGCCGACCCCACAGTATAAGTAGCTCAGATGCGATCCAGGTCGCAATATTCCCTGTGCTAAATTCTGTAATTCTGTGTCATTATTGGAGCCATATTCAGTGGTTTTGTGTAGTATTTACACCACATATACGGCGAATACACAGCCCCACATTTATACAGGACAACTACATGCTTAGAGGAGCTTCCTTACCTCCCTAAAATCCAAAATATGATGGATTTGATTCCACTCTGTGCAAACAATGAAGTATAAACAAGCGTCTTCTATGAATTGGTATGAGGTAAAAAAAATCCCCTCAACTGTAATGCAAATCAGTACACTAGGCCACCATTTTGGTGTTCTGAAACCATAGTCTCTTTAAAAATGTTAGCTTGCTTAATGAAAACCCGAATGAACTCTGATCTCTCTGAGTCATAGGAGAAACTTAATACTACAAGGGTACAGTTAACACATTATAAATGCAACCATATAAATGTATTTATTGATTGCAGATAATAAAAAAAACAGACTGATTCTGACCCCTAGATCTATGTAACATAAACCTTTACAACATTCATTTGACAGTTAATTATCTTACTACGGTGTACTGTTAATTACAAGATACTTACCGCTCTCATATTTGCAGTTCATGAGGTTGATTGACAGTCATCTGAAAAACAGACAAGACATGGACAGATGCGTGCCCTCAACTCTATAAAACAGTAGGTTAAGCGCCTGAACAACATCCTAAACAAAATAAAATTGCAGTAGTCACAGTGTTAGTACAAAGTCACAATGTAGAGTGAGTATAACTAGAATCAATATAACTGTGCTAATGATTAAATACATGCTATGAACCTATTCAAGTTAAAGTCTATCATGGCTTCCATACAGCTTCCGCTCTTGCTAGCTCAGACAGTAATAATTAGTGACTGTGTGCTAGTAGTAGTTGAAAATCCAGACTGTCTGAAAGCATGATTAAAATAATAAAATGCAGCCTTACATAGTGAGCACTAACCAGTGTCAGACATACAATGACTTACAATGTAGAATTAAAATCCCCCCAGAAAATGTTATTTTCAATTGCCATTTTTGTCTTGCATGGTTGACACTAACATGAAAACTGGAGCAGAGGAAAGTTTGTCTTACTGTGTGATGCCCATTCACACTGTCTCTCATGCCACCTACTGGCCAACTTAATACACTTCCACAAGCTTAGCAGCTACAGCCCAGTGCAGAATTATATCTGTTTCTGGGTCAACTGATAAGGGCTTCATAAATGCTCAAACATACCTTTTTTGTAGCTTTAAAAGACAAACCACCGACTCCTGACACCAGGAGAAAATGACATTTATGAAGCAGAATGACTGAACAAACAAAGAAAGTAAACAAATAAAAACACTGGGCAGCATGGAGAGAAACTGAACGTGTAAAGGTTATTTTTCTTAAAACTGAGTGAGGAAAGGTGAAGAATGGCAACTCAGCAAAGGAACAAAGAAATCAATCTGCATAGAATAAAGATATTCTATACTCATCCCAACATAAAACTGTTGAGCGTATCACATTGTGATCAGGCCTCTGTAAAAATCATACACCCTGACAATAATTAAGCAGAGGGCAATTTGACTTTCCGTGGTTGGGGAAGAGACTCTTAAAAAGGGCCGGCTCTTGTAAACAGCATCAGAGGGAGCTCATTCAGACGGACCTGCATCGTTCACATGGCGCTTATTACTCGTTCCCCAACTGTTAAGCCCTCTCTCTGCGCAGTAAAAAAAGGTGTGCGCCACACAGCGCAGTAAAGAAATCTGCAATAAACAGCCTTTGTCGGAGCTACATAAGAGACTGGGCTTTAACTCCACTTCCTAAGAGTCCTTCAGCAAGGCCTGAATGTCATGGGGAATGTCAGATATTTTAATAGGGAGATGCTATTCAGTGGGCACCAAAAGATGCTCTTCAGCCTTATAAGACACCACTATACAACTTGCTCTAACCATCATACAACTTGCATAGATGCAACAGATGCACTTATAATCCGCTGATTTTTGGTTACAATCTACAGTTTAAGCATTACACCACAGCATTTGGGTAACTACTGTACTGCACTATTAATACACAGTGCACACCAATAAAATATGTCTATCAAACTGATCACTGCACATGTTTTTGTCCCTCCTCGAGTTGATGCCTCCCAAGGCGAAACCCCAGATGCCACCCCATAGCTGCCTAGTCTTATTTAGGCAAGCGAGGCCTTAACTAGGTGCAGACATCAAAAGTGGACTAATAAACAAGGTAGGTTTGTGGGACTGCTACCCCAGATGTAGCTTTCATCATTCGTGCGGTTCTGGGGACCCCAGGGGGGTCAGGAGAGAGAAGGATGCTTGACGCTGGAGCAGTTTTTATAGACAGGTACTGTAACCGGAGAGGCGCGCTCCTGCCTGCCACATCGTCGCCCACTGTCTTTACACACACGCAGCTGCCCATAACCCATGTCTGCCTCCAGGCTTGAGACCCCAACCACCCTCTGCTCACGACCTCCCTCACTCTCCATTCTACAGACTGGACGAATCAGCAACAGACTTGACAGATTTGATATAATAACACATCTGTGGGTGAGTGTCTTGCAAGAACAGTTGCATTAATTTAATAATGCATTAATCGCATAGTGTATTTTGAATTTTGTTTTAGTCAGAGGCAAATATCCCACTCACTGGAGAATATGGATCACAAGTGTGTACTGTCTCAAGACAGTCCCTCCCAGTACCTCTTTTTCTTTTTCTTTCTCTTGGAGCTTCCCTTCTCCAGTGGTTTGGTTGGACAAACAATGTTCTGGTCCTGCCCACTATCCTGCTCCCCCACTGCTGTGGGCCCAGAGTCAGACAACCTCAGCAAGTCTGATTGCTCACTTAGACATTCCTTAGTAGAATTCATCCTGAACAAGACAAAAACCAAAGAAAATGAAATAGTGGACATGTAGAGACACATCAACATCTTCCCAAGGTGAATATGAGGCATTTATTGCATGTTTTGGCACTTCTTACACTTCTCACATCTAGTGCGACACAGTCTACTGTACATTCTAAGCATTATTATACATTTATTCCACACCATACAGTTATTTCAGTTCAGTGTTTGTTACATGGTCAGATGACAATGAGAATGTGCTCAAGTTCTGGTGTCCAATTCATATGCCTACATATTTTTAACGGATGTATGTTAATTTAATGACCCCCCCCTTTAATGTTAACAATATAAGCATATTTAATATTCAACATGCTCCCATTATTTAAGTCTTTCACAGTGTAGTGGAAAAAGATGCACTATACATCATTAATACTTTATTACACAAACAAGAGAGAGAAGCATAGGTTACATAGCCCTTGCCTAATGCTGACACAATAGCAGAGTTTTTTAATAAAAAGAATTCAGTGGTATTGGACATAGCAATCAGTCTGTAGGAGGGTAACAATGAAGACAAACAGGATATACCTTCTAATAATCTTACAAATTATCAAGTCTATTTGCATACTTCCAAAAACATGACATTTTCTGTTTCAGTTTCCAAAGATTTTTGTTGGCAAAAACAGCTGCCTTTATTAGGTCACAAAAAGCAACCTCAACTTGTCAGCACGACCTGAAATGCAAAAAGCAATGAAATTTCTTTGTCGATCTTTGTCATGGTTGACGATGTTGAAAATATTATGAACATTACCCAAGTCAATCAAAACCATCACCAGATCTTATCTACAATTTCAAACGGAGAGCTGACAGAGAAGACATCAGCCACATTTTATGACATGACTGGTGCCACAGCGGTTTATTCTTTAACTCACACACCTCACAAAGCCAGCGATGACCAAAACAATCACTTATTACATCACATTATTGTGAAGAATATTTAAGCTACGGCAAAGGCAAGACTTTATATAGTACTAGCTAAAAGTTTAGATACATCTACTCATAGTGAAAAAAAAACATTTTCAACATTTTAGAGTAATTATGAAGACATTAAAAATATGACATACAGAATTATGCAATGACCAAAAAAACTGAGATGCTTTTCCAACAGGAGTGAAAGAAGCATATGCTGAGACACTTTTGTTGCTGAAAACCACTTGTTGGAGGGTGCTTTGGAAATAATTTCAAACAGAGGTATATGAGTGAGCAATATGACAATTTAAAGCTATAGTGAAAAATTATGTCACAGTTTGGTTGTCTGAGCGTATAATTGGTAAGGTCAGTACTTAAAGAACACTGACTAACTAGATGTTTTATTACAGAGTGAACAAAATTAGGCTTTTAATTGAGTTTAGCACAATGCAGTATTACAAATCAATGTAGCTGTAGATTTATTATTATTATTATTATTATTATTATTATTATTATTATAGTGTTCTTAGATGTGTCAGTACAGGTTCTATTTTTGTCGGTTCCAACTTATTAAATCTCAGAAAAACTAAATACCACAATACATATTGTGTATCATTAAAATGTTTTGACTTTCATGATATAATTTTTTGCCTTATTGCCCACTCCTACATAGGCATCAACTTCACTAGTTGAATTTATCTTAGTAACAAATTTCATTTGCCTTTGCCTAGGCATAACTGCATTGCTGAGAGATTTAGAGTCATTTGACAGTAATTCATTCCACAGCCTGAAGGTTATTGCTTAATGACGATAGCATTTTAATAAAACCAACTAACATAAATTCATATTCTAATCTACCTACACGCCGTAAGCTACGTTGACAGGCCAGTTGAGTTTACCTACCTGTTAAGCTAAAACAACATAACCTATAAAACTGTATTTTTCACTGAAGCCCTTTTCAGAGGGTAAAAAAAAGACTAAAATTTTCTTCTGTAAAATGTATTACCTTTACCAGCTGAACAGGGTTTATGGCTCTACAGTTTCTTGAACTTTGCTCTTATTCAGTTCTTAACAAAGCAGTGAAGGGTTAGCTGGTATGCTAGCACTTTAGCTCTGACAGCTGAATGTTGGTATTAGCATTATAGAGCACGTACCCTAAACACTACGAAGACAAGACTAATCCAGAGTGTCTGTCACAATCTTTAAACTTACCCTAAACAGCAGTCAGATATTCTTTTTGTCTTCCCTCTACAAGATGGATTTACATTTACCTCAGACGGGTTGGTGCTAATTATCAGCGTTGTTTGCTACACCGGCTGGAACCGGAGCGCTGACACGCGTTTCGGCGCCAATAATTTAAGTGTTCCACTAGACGTCGTCGTCGCTATGGATGATTCAGCATCCTCAAGGGACGAAAGACAATCAAGCCAAGACCCGGAAAGGAGAATGTCTTTTGTTTCATCACTTCTCTCGTTACCCACACTTGAGACTGCACCGTATCAAATGTGCATATCATTAGATTTAGGCCTAAATACCGTCCCACTCGTTGTCCTGGCGACTGTTAGCCTACACTTCAGAGAGCCAGTCAGTGGGAATACTAGTCACTGTTTCGTTGACTGTTGGTGGCCCTATTAATCCCAAAAGAACTCAAATCCTACTCTCATAATTATTCTCAATTAAAGACAATAATAAATTCTTTTTTTTTTCTTTAAGGCCACCACATTTCAGCACTTTAAGGCTTTCTAAAAATTAGTCATTTAATCCATTTCATTAATCCTTTCATTTTGTATCAGAGTCAAATTTATTGGCCAAGTATGTTGATACACACAAGGAATT